GTGCCTGCACAACATCACCTTCCTCTCCGAATCCGAGAAACAAGGAATCTGTATCAGTGCTGTAATAAAGAGGTCACAGCACACTGGCCTCCATTACTTACAACTGAAAAGCAAGAGAAATGAAAAGATCGATGACTAAAGAGTAAGCTGACTGAAGAAATGAATATTCTCCAACTTGATTAAACATGGATTTTACTAAGCTTCCCCCTTGTTGTGCACTGAAAGACTCTTACACATGGGAAGACTTAAAATTGGATTACTAAGCAGGAGTGAGGAAAGCAGGCAAACAAGTCCAGAAAACGGTCCAATGTAGTAAATCCGGGGCACAGTCCAAAGTTCAAAACCAGGGAATCCATCCAAGACTAGACGATTAAAAACAGGTACAGGGACATGGAACAAGGAGATTAAAAACGGAGTTCCCAGCCCCGGACTCAGCTGGTCAGGACACCGTTCGGAAGCCTATGCCTTCAAGCCGTGGATTTGGGGCGACTTGATGCTAGGCGGAGCTCAGGGTTTCCGTCTTCCAATGCAGAGCCCCGAGCTTCCGGAGCACTGGGTTTAAATAATACTGTGAATCCAGGGACAGGTGTACGTGCTAATGAAACAAAATGCAAAAAGAGTCGGAGCGCCCTCTAGAGGAGGGATGATGATTGTGACACCTGGTGCTAGAACAAACAGGAAAGGTGGTTGAGTGGCCTGTGAATCAAAAGCATTATCCTTCAGTAGTCTTGAACTGTTTTTCTGAACAGCACCTTCATGACTGAAAAAGAGATGACCCAAATAAAATATCTGTTTACAATTTAGTGCACAACTGACATATCAGGTCTGAAAAGACAAAACGTATGCCCTGAAAAAAGAGCTCTGGTTTAGTGCAGAGTATTAGCAGCAAACTTGCAATTTTATATACAAGTTTATATCGGCTGTATACCAGTATAAAGTCACCTTTAACATCCGGAGAAACGAAAGTAGCTCATTTCCAGTCTCAAGGTCACTCTGTGCGTGCTCTTGGACGACACTAACCCACTCGGTAAATTACAGAAGCCGAGGAACAGCAGATCTCCTGAAGAATGGCTTAGTTAACCACTATAAATCAGTTGTATCTATGTGCTATTTTGTCCTATTAAAATTGGCTCTTGCATCTGTAATGAGGAACACAGATTGAAAACGAAAAGGTCACCCAACCCATTTTCTTCGTGGCTGTTCACTGTTTAAAGTGTTAATCTGAGAACACGCCAAGTGCTCTGTGAGGTCCCTTGAATCAACTTATATTTTCCCCAAGGCTATATTGATCATTCATTCCTTTCCCAGTGATTAAGTCAAAATCACCTTCTACCTCTTCATTAACAATGATAAAGTGACTTGACTTCTTATACTGATTCCAGAAGGCTCTCGTGGTTTCAGGAAAGCAGAGCTCTTTGAGAAATAGGTTGAGCTAAGAAACAGCAGTAAATAAAAATCAAAATCAATTACCAACTCAAATCATTTTTCAAATAAAAAACTTAAAGATGCTTGTTATTTGCTCTTGGGGATTTTTGGCTAAAAACATTTGTTGGAATAAATCAAAGCATTACTTTTACAAATACAGTAAGTGCTCCCCTTCTTTACTTTTAGTCATTTTTCCATGAAGATGGTCCAGTCTACTATGCACAAATGATTTCTCTGAAGCACATTCACTACCTGGCATTGCTGACCATTCAAAGATAAAATAAATCTAGCAGGGGCAGTGGCATATGCTGTTTTCTTTCCAGTCAATTTAATTGCAGTTTTTTTCTGATTTGATGTTTTCTGTGCGACTGCACATTATTTCAGCTTTTTGTAAACAGTAAATGAACAACTAAGCATGCAGAGATCATAAGGGCTTAAAAAAATTAAAAATCAGCTACAGATGAATGTCTATCAAGAAGGTAAAATCATCCATTAAGAACATTTATTCATAAACAGAAAATCCATTTCACATTAAAACCTTCACTTAAGTCTACACTGAAAGACAGTCTCAGCTTTTTAATGAGTTTATAAAGTCCTGCAATTTGCGTCACAGATTCTGAGTTGAAAAGCGACAGTATTCAAGAAATATGCATGACCCCCACTGGGGCACCAGGCTGCCTTTGATTTAAAAATCAGATGGTGCAGGAGGAGAAATTCAACTTTCATAAATCTGATGGGGTGTAAGAAATGTGACATTTTTATTAGACTGGAGTTGAAACAGTTATACTACTTTCCTTTAATTTAATGTTCAAAACAAAAGGAAACTTACGAAACAATTGTTTTTAAAACAATTTAAAAAAAATGTAGAATGTTTTGTAAATTGTAAATCAGAGAGAATTCAGATAACACACCAGCTAGAATGACCTCCAGATTGTAAAAACGTGACAGACAGAAGGATTCGAATCAGGCTTCGAAACAGGAAGAAGCAGTGGAGGGAATGAAAGACCTGGTACAGACCCTGCATGACATGAGGAAGCTTCCACGAATTGCCAGGCTGGAGTTTCAATTCTGGGGCCTAGAAACCACCAGCAAGACCTGTATTACCTGACGAAGAGGACAACTGCAAGTTTGTCAGCGCCACTCCTCCTAGTATTTGAGATTTTAAGGCAGAGACATAAGATTTGTTTCTTTAGGGGGCAGAGAATCAGTAATCCTAGTGCTTAAATTGGGAGAAAGGGGTGCAGTGCAGAAAATGCTTTGTAGAACTCAACCAGTTGGAGATCTGGACTAACCGATTTGACCGTTTGCACAGAGTTGATCACCTGAATGAGAGAAGAAGTAGTGTTTCCACTGAACAAAATAGAACACATCTGGAAACACATGGGTCTCTGGATAATAAGGTATTTAGGAAGGTAGGAAGGTGTGAACTACACAAACATTTCAGCCCAGAATATCACGATTTATGGACTGAATCTGATTAGGGAGATTAGGTCAGGCATCTCTACTGCTTGAGCATTATAGTTCTGATGAGTAGAATGATAGATTCTACACTATATTTCTATATTCTATAGATTTTCCACATTTTCCACAGTGGAATTCAGAGTTAAAATGCCGAAATTAAATAAGAAAAAGGACTTTAACAAAATACAGTACATGGACCAAACAAAAGGACACCTTGAGGTTTCTCCAAGAGCAGAACTGTTATCAAACTGCAGGCCTGAAACAGATTCAAGTGCTACTCCCTCTGAAAGACCAGCTGTAGCTCTGGTATGGACTTTCCCTTTTACTGTCAGTGGAGAGGTTGATGCAAACTGAACATATAACAAGGGCTTATTAGAATTGACAACAGCACTGGAGCAGAAAAATCTAAAGGATACTGTATCCTTTATGCCATATTTAAATTATAAGATAGTATGTAACAGAAAAGTAAAACCTTTGGTGCACAGTGACTTAATTGGTTTACAAGCATGTTGTCAGGTATGAAGAGATCTGACCTTCCTCACTATTTATACCTGAAGATGGTAATTATATGGAAACCTGACATAGGCTTGAGAGTTGTCTTCATGTGTGTTCGTACAAGAGTTTTAGCAAGGGTAATTATTGAGTCGGCATCTGAGGGCACTAGACAAAAACAAAATAATTGCCTTTCTAAATTTAAAATTCAACTGTACCTAATACTTAGCATTCACTATTTCAGAGGTAAAACACAACTCTCAAGGGAATATGCTGAAGGAACTTTATAAATTTGCGATGGCCAGGTAATTTATTTGCATTAGCTTTAATTTGAAACCATTTAAATAAAGTCAGTGGGAGCTAAGGTGTGGAGGAGAACTGATGAAGTTGTGTCCCTTGCAGCAGGGCTCTCAATTTATAAACATTTTCAGCAGAGAACAGAAGGCACTGCTTTAGTCCCACAAGACTTCATAATTAGCTGGCTCCAAACTCAACTGCTGAGACAGGAGCACATGACCATTTCCATGTACAGAACCGGGTTCCGTGATACTGGAAGTGAGTAAAATTGAATGGGGGAAAAATACGAGCCATTTTAACTACATAAGCTTTTCATTATAAAGTCGATTTCCATACTTCACAAAATAAGACCTTACACTCCAAAATTAAAATGGATTTCCTGTGGTCTGTTTGTAAAACATCTGACATTCAGTCACAGATTCACTCATGTAAAATGCGCCTTGAAAATACAAGTGAAGAATCAGCAGTATCTTGCACTTTGGAAGGGAAGTGAGCCAGAAGAAATGAGTGTTGTTCCTCCTCTCAATTTTACCTTTACAGTACAGTGGGTAATGGTTAGAATTTTACAAAAAGAAATGCTGCCTCATCAATAGCACTTGACTGATGCTGTGATTATGTGCCATTTCTACACTTAACAGACTGATGCCTATAAACTTTAGGTGCCATTAACTGGCTTCATTGTCTATTACAGGATAAGAAATACAGCTGTTGCATCTAGAACCAATATGAAGTAAACCATGCATTGTTCACAGGACTGTATTAAATAACTCTGCATCTGAGTCCAATTCAATGCCACAAATCTTCTGCACAGGTTGTGCTCAGCAATTCACTAGTTCAAGCCTGGATCTCTAGCTTGTCGTATTGGCTTCAGCTGGATCACTGACCATTATTGCTAAGTGCGAGTGCACAATTAGTTGATATAGGGTTGGGATTAGCCATCCTGGACTCTTCCCATCAGACATTTTGACTCCAGACCATCTGTTTTCTAAATCTTCCCCAAAAGCTAATGCTACTCATTTAGTAAGGCTTCAGCTCATGCTAGCCTCCACCAATTCTATTAAGCTGCCAAGTTTATTACACATACATGCAGATACACACACAGAGTTTGTAATCGTAATGAGCACACTTTGTCCACTGACAAAGAAGGAAAACAGCATTTGAAAGTTACCCATTAATAACCACATTCTTTTTCATTGTTGGAGAATTTATGACCATGCATGTTTTGGGAATGCCACTCAGACTACATGTTTTAAACATGTCCAAAATCTTTTATTTTGTTTCCACTGTATTCTTTTTGTTCTTTTGCATTTTTATTCCTTAAACAGATACACCAAAATGAAGACTGCCACAAACATTTACATCTTCAACCTGGCCCTGGCAGATGCGCTGGCCACCAGTACCCTCCCATTCCAGAGTGCCAAGTACCTGATGGACACCTGGCCCTTTGGAGAGCTGATCTGCAAGATTGTAATTGCTATCGACTACTACAACATGTTCACCAGCATCTTCACCCTCACAATGATGAGTGTGGACCGCTATATCGCCGTGTGCCACCCCGTCCGAGCCCTCGACTTCCGCACGCCCATCAAGGCCAAGATTATCAATGTCTGTGTGTGGATCCTGTCCTCAGCCATCGGGGTGCCCATTATGATCATGGCCGTCACCAAAGTCACAGATAAAGGTGATTGCTTCCCCTGATAATTACCTGAATGTCTTTATATTGCAATTGCGTGAAATGCATTTAATTATTAATTGATTCATTTTCTAACTTCTTTCTCCAATACAGGGTTGCAGAGCCTTGAATATGCTGACCATAATTCTGCTTGGTACTAGACTAGTACATTCCACTGGTTTTATCCACAGTAATATAGCAGCAGTTGGTGGATGTGTAGAGGGATAAGCAAACAAGCAACAGACTTCCAAAAACCATACACTCAATTCTGCATTTTTCACTCTTTCAATAAACATCTCTCTCACCCCTCTTACAAAACAAGTTCCTCACCATCTGAAGAAGTGAAAAGGCTTCATTATCAAAGCTGGTTTCCCTTGCCTCATTGTAGTTAAGATGCAACAGCAAAGGAATTAATAAGCAGTGAAGCGTAATTTAAAGTCAATTAAGAGTCAATGCTTTCATGGGTTATCTGCCTTCAGAGCCTAGATTTACTGTCACTGTTCATACTTTTTATGCTAGTAAACAAAGCACACATACTTTGCAGTAAGTAAATAAAGATGCTTTGTCTATTACTATATTAATAGAGCATACAGTCCTCCAAGTGTGCAATGAATATAATATTATTCTGTTAAATGCTGTCTAAGTTATGTTTCCATCATGTTTAAAGAAATAAGCAAATGTACTCAGGACCAATTCATAAAACATTTATAACCACACCCAATTTACAAACTGCTTCTAAACATTAAATTTGCAAAGCATTTCATAAATGAATGGATTTTCTCAAAATTAATGGAAGCTGAGTCAGCCTAAGAACTCAGGATGCAGCAACATGCATTTTTACTTGCTGTTCATAGCCAAGCCTATAACTCTCGACTTTCCATATTTCAGGAAACATTGTGTGCATGCTGAAATTCCCTGATCCAGACTGGTACTGGGACACAGTAACGAAGATCTGCGTCTTCATCTTTGCCTTTGTGGTGCCTGTGCTAGTCATCACCATATGTTACGGGCTGATGATCCTGCGGTTGAAGAGTGTGCGTCTGCTCTCAGGATCCAAGGAGAAAGACAAGAACCTGCGCCGCATCACCCGCATGGTGCTCGTGGTGGTGGCAGCCTTCATCATCTGCTGGACTCCCATCCACATCTTCATCATCGTGAAAACCCTGGTGGAGATTGACAAGAAGAACCCCTTCGTCATCGCCAGCTGGCACCTCTGCATTGCCCTCGGCTACACCAACAGCAGCCTCAACCCAGTGCTCTATGCGTTCCTGGACGAAAACTTCAAGAGATGTTTCCGAGATTTCTGCCTGCCCTTCCGCTCCAGAATGGAGCAGAACAGCTTCACCAGGGCCAGGAACGCCACCCGCGAACCCATCTCAGTCTGCGCGCCTTCAGAAGCCGGGAAGAAGCCAGTATGACTAGACATGGACCGCCTGCCCCATGGGTCTCGTACCCGGAGAGTGCAACAAGACCTGCAGTCAGAAGTCACACAGATCTCCACCACAGAGTTTTAGCTCTAGAGGACCCCCAGCCCCCACAGGAGTCTCCACGTGTATATGACCATCACTGATTATCCCAAGTTATCTAGAATTCTTCCACTCTTTTCCTGCCAGGAAATGTTCCTAGGAGCTGCTTTCAGAAGGAATAGGACAATCTTTCATTTTACATGTGCCCTCCTAGATCTTGACCTTACAAGGAGGGTAGAAAGTGGGGGGGGGGGGGCAGAAGAAAGTGCTTTTTCATTGGTGCACATTGCTAACAAATACATCAACAACTATTTGCACATGACGTGGTGGCTGGAAGGGAAATATCAGAAACTTTAAGGGAACATTCAGTGAACACTTCTGCAAGGCTGACAGGGTAAGACTCAAGCACACAGACTACATTTACTGTATAAAATAAAAGCAATGAAATTAATCAAAGTCAGTAGTGTAATATATATATATACAGTGTATAATATACAGCATATTTGCTAAGTAGAGGTATTTTAAAATTTAGCATGCAAGATTGGGATATTAAGGAAAAGTCTGATTGCTCTCCAAAAGCTTGCAGATACTTAGGAACATTTTATAGCTTGCATTTCCTAACCTTTCTAAAATACCAGCTAACTTATTTTCTTATCAGGCTTTGCTTTGAAACCAGAATAAAAGAAAAAACAGAGGGTGGAAGATGAAAGTATGTTGGAAGAAGAGAAGTAAACAGTATATGAGTGTGGGCAAAACAAGTCCATGTGACTTCTCCTGTGTCTGTTGAGCGGGCAGGTTTGACAGCATGCAGCAGTGCTGTTCTAACGGCGAACCAAACAATTCAGATGGTGTTTTAATGTCCCTGGCTTACAACTTAGGTCGGCCTCCTCCTCACGATGTGTGAAAACTTGTAGGGGTCAGGAACAAGCCACTCAGCTACTGTATGGAGTTGAAGCCAATGTCCTGGATTCTTTCAAGAAACTGCAGGTTGAGACCTTCAGATAGATTTGTAACCAGGAACTAAACTAGCCCAATTGGGCCAAATTATACTCTCTCAAACGTACTTATACCTGCCTAGGCGCTTAATTACGTTCAGGTATCTTTTAATAACAGCTTTTATCAGGACTAAGAGAATCTGTGTCAGGGAGCCTGTGCTAATGAGCAATATGAATGTGAAGACTTAAAACAGTGGGGCATATTTTAATTTTAATCATCTACTGTACATTGTAAGTACTGCATAAGCCTGCCTTGAAAAATCAACCTCGACAAACAGAAAACACTTGTGTATAACATTTCCGACAGAAGAAAAACTCCACAGTTACAGCCTAGTAACTTCAGAAACATAGGAGAAGGAAAGACTTCTGAGGCTTTCAGCTGCGTTGAAAGAAAACCTAAAGGGTTAGATCCATATAATACATAATGTAGAGCGCTAATCTGTTTTTTATTAATTAGTAAGTCTGCTACAAGGAAGAGTTAGGACCACTGTGACAGCAAAACCTATCAGCAGTAAAGGGTGAGATGATAAATGGTTGTGTAGCCTTAAAAAAAAGCTGTTGCATGAAATGATTAGGGTCAATATACTCAGGAGTTATATTATTATGCCAGTTCAGACCTGCAGTATTGAATAACCATCAGCAGCATCTTTGCAGAGGATTTTAATGTAACATAATGATAGTGGTGCAAAACTAGATGGTACCCATTGCTGAAAAGCCCTGTATCTGCACACCTAACCATTACCGAAATGAATCTTAAAAGCAATGCTATTGGACTATTAAATCTGACATCGAACACCTTTCAATTATTACATAGCTGTCATTAGACAATTACTTATATTCCCTTCTTATTATAAATGGTATTACAGTGTCACTGCAGCTAAAACTTCACTATAATTATGAACAAGTGAACGGGAACTGAATGCAGTCCTAAAGAAACCTTGATACAGTAGGATGCAAATGTTTTTTCTCATAAAGATGCACTATTGATGAATGTCAAGCCGCTAAGCCTGTCCCAGGAGGTGATGCAATTATGCTGAGTTAAATGAATATTAATACATGTTTTTTTTAGATTTCAGAATTCCATTTCCAGCGGACGATACAGAGAACCGAGCATGAATTCTGTTTCAAATCCTCCGATTCAGTGGTGCTTTGTGAATATCAAGTGATGAGATTTCAATCTGGCTGAGCTGTTCAGTTATAATGCAGCCTTCAGCACGGCCCTCTCCCTTATTTGTGATGCATTTCAAATTTGAAGTAGTAAAAAGTAGTCTTCTCAAACTGAAGCCTTTGTTCTCTGAACTCCTAAGAGTCTCTGTAGACATATTGAAGTGTTTTACACTGGAGGTTGTTGGTCAGGAAGACTCAGACTGATAACAGAAAACAACAGGAAGAGTTGTGTGTTTTGTTGAGATACACCAGGGGTGTTGAAATCAACAGCTGGAGACATGGTATCTGCCAGTCTGTACTCATCGGAGCTTGCAATTGCATGATGGGCCTAATTATTTGACTAAGTGCCAATGGTAATACTTCTAACCAGGCTCTGAGATATATGATAAGTATCTTTAATTAAGGGAATGACTTGAATAATAAACTTTGAAATAGTATTTTTCGTAACCTTGAATACTCAGATTGAAAAAAAACAAAACAGGAGGCACTAGTCCAGGGGCGATCAGACTTGACACTTGATATTGAAGTGATCGTCAGCACCTGGGTTCATTAGCCAATAAAGGATCGTGGAATACAAATGCAAATTGCCACAGTTTGTACATCTTGTTTGACATCCGTACTGTTTCTACTGTTTCAGCTGCGGATATTATTCAGGACAGTATTTGTGCAAGAAGAAACATACAAAAAATGTGCCAAAAAAAACAAAGATTGCTTTTAATTAACTGAACAGTATTTTCATATTTTGCATAATGAAAACAATTGCTCATAAAAAATAAGTTCAGAAAATACAGTAAGATCTTGATAATGCAGATGTGATCAAAGCTAGTTACAGTCATGTTTCACTTCAGCCTGCATGGTATGAGGAAGTACTGTCAGTCCTGTGGATGATCACATTGGCAGTGGCATGCATTATGGTTGAGGGATGTTGGCATATCAAACGCTGGGAAACAGTGGTTTCACGGTCTGCATTTATATCTCAGATCGCTTTTGATTGGTGGAAACTAGCATGTGTCCATCGCCCGAACTTTTGTTGTGATCTCCAGTTAATTCTGAAAGGCAATTACACAAATGCGCAACGATACTCTTTTCTGTCTTGAGCAAGAGTCGTAGTGAAAATCCGTTATACAGTACATTGAGTAAATTATTTGAAACACTTGTAAAAGTTCATATATTTTGTATATTTTAAATGGTAATGCTTTTGGTAGAAACCGTCATGATGGATGTAGCTTTTGTATCTCAGTGGACTGAAACAAGCCAACAAAAACTGACAGGACATGATGTACACAGATAAGAAAATGAATGTAAAAGTTTTGATATCAATTCAATTTAAATGTTTTAAAAATGTTGTGTAAAGTGAATTTACAATATTGTATATTTGTTCTGGTAGGCAGGCAATTTGCATTGGGGAAAAGAAAAGTAAATTACAAACACATCTTGTAAATATGTATATTCTCTTGAAGTGTTAAGATTATTGCTGGTTGACTTTCAGTGTTTGCTGTCTGCCTTTCTAAACCATTGTGTTTAAAAAATAAATTCTACAATGCTGTAGTTTGTAATTGCATTCTGCATTGCACAAAACACATTTTATTCCCACTTTCAAAGTGTGTTCAGTTCCCTAAAGTATTTGCTTAAAATTTAAATACAAAGTAGAAATAATCACTCATTACATTTCCTCACTGACAGGGGAGCTTGAATGCAAGTCAGGAGGACAGTTGCAGAGTAGAGCAGAAAACGACAGCAGCTCTTGACATTGTTGGATCCAGTTTTACCATAAAAAACCCTCTAGAGGAGGATTAACTCAGGCTTTAGCTGGTATCTCTCCAGGAAAAGTCTCCACTGTAAAGATAGAGTAAATCAAAGTTGATGTCTCTCTCTTTCGTGAGTGTAGTTTTGCTTTCACTATGGGTCTCCAGTCCAACTAAACAGTTCCATCCAATGTTAAATGCCCAGCACACCACTTTGTATATTTCACCATTCTGCCTTGAATACTCCAGTTCTTATGTGAAAAAAATACTGGATACTGCACAAATAGAAAACTATCTAATCTTTAAATATTCAACATTTCTTTTCAGATATTTTTGGAAAAATAAAGATTGTATTCCCATCTACCCTTGATTCAAGAGGAGGTTATTTTGAGATTTCTTAAAACAAACAAGAATTTGTTTCCTAAGACAATTTCATTTTGCCCAATGCATTAAAATCAAATATTTTAATTACAAATAAATTAAATGTACCTTAAAAATATTAAATTATTGTGAAATATCTTTGTGAAAAAGATACTTGAAATGCATTTGGGTTATTTAAAAGTGCCTTTATGAATAAATGGAAGTCATTAAGATGTAACATTCTTAAAATAATATTCCAGATATCTGAACATTATTTGAAGATACTTTAGAACCAAAACACAAACTAGGGAAAGCAGAAACACAAAACCTCATAAAACATGTACCTTTACAAACTGTACCCAACAAAACTTATGTTGAAATCTGGTCAAGGGTACAAATGACCCATATAATATGTGTTATCTTAAAAAAAAGATATATTTTCAGTATGCGTCTCGTAACTCAAGAACATGACAAGACTATGAAAATTATATGAAGTTTATTAAAGTACAGCAAAAGATATAACACCTCTTACAGCAAGCCAAGAAAAACCATTGAGGCGAGAATCTTATATTTAATATGTATAGAACATAGGAACATATCTTATGCTCAATAACAGACTCAGCATTTCATTTTTTTATGGTTTCAAGTTGTGATGTGCTATAAACGTTTTTTTACACATGATCTGTCAATAATTTAACAAGAAACAATTCTGAAAGTCAAAACTTCTCATATCCCCATAAATTGAGCTTTTGTAGAGTTTCTGTTTTAATAAACTGCACTTGAGCACTTTTTAACCACATTTTTAATCAACTAGAGCTCTTTGATATAGAGTTAATATCTGACTTTTATTTTGACTTCAAACCCTGTGTAATTTTTCCACCTCACACAGATTAACTTGTCACCAGCCTTTGGTGAAAACTCAATTCAATCACGAGTAAAACTAATTGCAATTTAAGTCAAGGTTGAATTTTGAAACAAGTAGCATATGAGCGCCTTACCAAAAACAAATTGAGCTCCCTTTAATGTTTTACCTCAGAGTTACTGTATATATTTGCAAACAAAACAAAAAAAATCACATAAAGCCACATTGTGAATTTAGCAAGGAGAAACACATTCAGCCAAACACTTTGCAGTCCTGACTATTTAACAGGCACAATACATCACATTAAAAAGGGCAGCAACACATGAAACAGGGATAGACTTAATCTAAGAAACAGTAGAACTGTAGCTTAAATCAATGGTTTGTGGGCAGATTAAGAAAAATAGGTTTTAGTTCCTTTAAATTACAGCCTTCTAAACATTCAAACAGACTTTTGTTATAATGTCGCACTGTCTCCGACAACTGCCATTGTAAACACAAGAACCAGCCCTATTTCTCAGGCTAACTTTGCGATCGTTGGATTCTTCTGCTATCACACACACACACCTTGAAACAGCATGGACCTTTACTGTATCTCTGGGCCCGGTTGAGATATCTCCATGGCACCACATTTCCATTCATTCCGGATATACAGTAGTACTGAGTTTTTAAAAATCAAGAACGAAGAATCTAGCTTAGAACCCTCAAATTTCAGCAAGAAATGGCATCTCTACTGTTTCAACTTTACATGTAGAATTTGAATATTACAGCCAAAAACCAAATCCACTCCATGAAGCCCCTATGGTCTTATTTCCTTTGACATTGGATAGTGTAGATGTTTTGTGAATTGATTTTCATTCTCTTTGTAATATTGTGTGGCTCTGTAACACAGTATTGCTTTTGTTTGCTGTTGAAAATTTCCATTTTAGCATATAAAAGCATTGTTGATTTCTGTAAACTATGTATATGTTTGTACACGATGCTAAGTGACCATATTGCTACTGAATTTGAGGTGGTCTTATTGTAACATGCATACTGTACATAGTAATGTAGTTGCGCTTTGCACAGCTTTTGATCACATTATTATTGTTACTTTCTTAAGACACAACCAGGAAAAGACTGTATTAGCATTTGAGATTAAATCATGTTGGTTCAAAAATAAAAAAAATGCAAAAAAACAGCACTGTAGCAATTCACTTACAAAGCTTGATGTTTGTTGTTCCTACATTAACCATAAAATCATCTATGTGGTTTGTGATTTATTTCTCTTTTTATCCTTACAAGAGGATATTAACTTTTAAGACCGTAATAGTCTTGAATATACGTATGTAAGATTAAATGTATTGCAATGTGCAAATCCAGTCTTTTTGGCCATACTTTGGATGGGGGAAGCAATTATTTTAAAAAAATATTGATATCTCTGTAAACTGTTTATCATCTAGGAAACTGTCCCTCCATGAAACGCTGGTACTGATATTATCATACAGCATTCCGAGGTATCATGATATATCTTAATACAAATCCTATGATTCTTCTCATTCTTGGAGAATTCAAGAACTTTAACAGTCCTGGTGCTTAATTTAAGTGAGACAGAAACTCTGTTACTCTGTACCATGCCAGTTTCTCGAAACACTGTACCTGTAGAGAATGAATGCATATCTGGTACTAGATGGATGGATTCATACTATAGATCTTTTTTTTTTTCAGACAACCAAGGTAGAGTGAGGGCAACAGAGTCGTGAGGACAGGGATCGTAATATGGTGTGCTTATAATTATATTTTGAAACTGTACAGTTTGGGTCCAAAACATAAGCTTACAATTTCTGGAAAGCTGACTTGAATGAGATATGACATAAAATCAGTAGAAAACAGGTAGCAGCAGACAGATTCTGCTTGAAGCACAGAACAAAACAAATTTATCCCAAAGGAAAGCAGATTAACGGCTATAAAACAATACCCTAAATGATTTGACAGGCAAAATGGAATGGAAATAAAACTGCTTTATAAAACAATTAATAAACAACAGCATTCTGTTAAAGAAAAGGAGTACAATGAATTGCAACGACAGGCAAAAAAGATGATAAAAAAGTCAAGAGATGAAGTCAAGGAATATTCAATGGAGGCTAAAATAATGAAAACTGCTAATTTCACCAATTAGAATTTTTTATGTTGCTATCAGCACTTTTAGCTATTAGGAAGGTTTTCTAATGAAGTTTGTAAGTTACTGAAAATCTGCAACTTTTCAGCAGCTTTTGAAAAGCATTATCATGCAACAGAGAATTCATACTCAATCACCTCAGAAAGCCAGTATATTTTAAATGAAGACTGGGGAGCCCGACTTCTCAAAAGTCCAAATCTTTACTTCCGAACCAATTGAACCTCACACAGACTTAAAAAAGGTGTGGCACACTTAATAAATATCATGAATTTAACACAAATTACTCCGAAGAGGCCACAAATAATGTTACAGCACTAGCTGGACTCCCTAACAAGATAAGTGCACAATAATTACTAATGTATTTGGCTGAAGCTTTTATCCAAAACAACTTGCATTCTCTCCCCATTTATACACCTGGGTGTTTCACTTTTCACAATTCAGGTGAACTACCGTGCTGAAGGGCACAACAGGAGTGTCTTACCTGGGATTTTGAACCCACAACCTTCCAGCTACAAGTACAGAACTCTAATCACTGCTCTCCATGACAATAGAAGTCCAAAATCAAAGTTAAAATCTCTCCCATTGTACTATGGAGCTACAGTATTATCAGAAAATAAAACATGGACAATCTCTGATTTTGGCTGAAGCATATGTAACAAATGATATTCAATACTGTAACCATAGAGACTAATACATGTAATACAGCACTGCCAGAGCTCAATGGAAGGTTCTTCAAGTATTTCATTTGAATTAAGGAGAATAGGAAGTGAACATTTTTAGCAGCAAATAAACAGTTCTGGGGAAAAAAGCAAAAAATCAAAAGACATGCAACAAAACCAGAGGGCAACATACTGTAAATGGAATTCCGTATAAAATGGAGTAGGTTATTTTAAAGTGTGATTTCAACCATGTCTTTCAAAAAAAGATCATAAGAGACATGACACACCTACTAGTCTAAATGTGTTTTGAAATGTGTTCAGGGTCTCTCTATTTATTTTTGTTACAGTGCTTCATGTTGAAATGAAAAAAGCTTTTAATTTAATTTAATTAAAATTGCTTTATGAGAATCATCATGTTTTGATGTTCAAGGCTGAGACATGATTTATGAAGCAGAGAGCATTATGAAAGTGAGTGTCTAGGGAATGCACATGATTTTAGCCATATTCCTCATTTTCCAGGAAAACTGAGTCATTTTCTTTCCCCATATCATGACTGAAAAGACCTGTACACCTCAGGATTTCAGGTTCATAAATGCTCAGTGGTATATTGACCTAAAGCTCTGCGTGTTGCGCTGTTTTATTCCTCAACTAAAATTGTCACGCATAATTGAATTGAATCTGTGCAATGTTTCAAAGAGATATGCAAAGAAGGAAATGCTTAAGATGGATTGGCAAAGCTTTAAACAAATTTAAGAGTGTAGGAGGGTGTAAACAGGAAATAAAAAAATCCTTAAATGAGCAAAAAAGGAGTGCTCAAAATGACATTTTACATGTACATAATGAAGCACATAAAACATACCCATCTAGCAAAGGGTCTTCTTACAGCTGCACAATCCAAGGAATACAAATCAGAAATACAACTTGTATTCTGTATAGAGTAACAGATATTTAAAAAAGAAGGAACTGCAATGTTGGTTTTATGATTCCAATACAGATTTCTCTTGTGGGCTGAGTGACAAATGAAATAATTATTTGCAGAACATCTAGCCTTTATCTCGCTTTGTCTCTTTTTACTCTCTCCTTTGCTCTCATTTCAGCAGCACTTACACAATGTTCTCTAAACAAACCTTGGATCAATAAGCACGGACACCAGAATACCTAGTGGGATGAGTCACTCCAACATCTCGACAACAGGTTTGAGTCCTGTGGCTTTTCAGTGTGTCCTGATCGAGACATGGCAGCCTGAACACCAAGAACAGCTGGTCCTGAGCAAGGGCCACACTGTACCCTACTGATCACACCGTCCTAGATCTCAGCAGAAGAAGACTGGTTTGCTGCAGAGAACAAAATCCCTAATTTTGACTCGGCACCATAAAATAATGAAGAAGGAAGTCGTTTTCATCCAAAGTATATATAGCGCAGGTTAGACAATATCATACACATGATGTGTGTAAGAATAAGAAACTAACATGTCACATAAATGTCACAGAGTCCAAAAAACAAATAATATATTGTTTCAGATAAAGTTTATTTAACTGTCCAGATTTCTATTCAGGTGGTGTAGATAATAATTTGCCTGTTTTGTCTAAATTTCCTGAAGGGACACACTTGGAACACTTGAGTAGAATGTAATAAAATACCTGTACGTCAGTCCATTTAATATTTCACGTTGCTGACATCTCTCTATCAAATCATAGTTAACACAATTATTCACTTTGTGATGTTGTTTTGCTCTTTTCAATTAGCAGAAATAATGAAGAACAAACATTATGGAAGGTATTTTAAAATAAAAGACTCAGCTTCAAATATGCATCAGTTCTCCATTCATCACAAGATCTACCTACCATAATGTACCTCTCACAGTTAACATGAATGGACTGAAATCTTTTTGTTTTTTTAAAGAGCCCATACAAAATATCCAGCGACCTTTACATGGAGTGACACTCTCTGTCATTCCCCTTTGAAAAACAGGTACAGCTACACTCCTGTTTCTTTTGAAAAGGTCTCGTCTGCAATGCCATCTTTCATAGTACTCAAAGAGCATCCTAACAAATCTGCACCTTCACATTTAAATAACTTGCCTCCAGCTTATTCCCTTGATAGCAAAATATAGTAATCTGACAGGGGATTGCTGCATTGTCTCAGAACTGCAAACTCCCGGGTGGTACAGAAGGCATTTCTTATGCAAAAAGTTTGAAAAGCCCTGTTTCAAAGCATTCTGCCCACCAAAACAGTTAGCATGTTTAAATGATGATAACTCTGTGTTATTATTTTTAATTGGTTATGTATTGCATGGAGATTTGGGACCTTTCTAATCATTTGTAAGGCTCTCTGTAAACCACAGATTGTTGTTAGTATCATAGGATGATGAAATGAGTTTCCTTTGCCTCCTAAAGCCTGGAAATTAGTGGTTTCACTAACACCTACTGGATTAGATCAGCTGTTAGTGAATGCAAGTCAGGAAATGTGGTTTGTTTTAGTAGATGAGTATTTTCTAACATTCTTTAAGTTTACCATTTTTTGTGTGGTGGCTACTTCAACAGCCACATTTGAGGATCTGTGATTACTGCATATTCTGATTATGGTTGTGCATTTCTAAAAAGGTCTGTTTTTCTTAAAATGTACTGCATTTTCTCTGGTAACACAGACGTTATGCCACTTTCTAAAACTTTAGTCCCCACCCTTGTAACTTATTTTACATTTGGACTGAAGTGAAAATCTGGTTAATAAATCAGATCCTTCTCCATCTGTTAATATTAATAAAATGCACTTTCACTTTTTTTCCTGCTACTTCAAAGAACACACAAAACATCCTTCATACCAACATAATGAAGACCTTTTCTTACAGTATTTGCATTA